GTGTGTGTGTGTGTGTCTTTCTTTCGGTATGTCTTTCTTTGTCTCTCGATCCGTCTGTCTCCGTTTCTCTCTATCGCTCAGTTTCTCAGTCTCTCTTTCTCTCTCTCTCTCCCTCCCCCCTCTCTCCCTCTCTTTTACTCTCCCAGTCTCTCTCTCTCTCTCTCTCTCTCTCTCTCTCTCTCTCTCTCAGTCACTCTATCTCCCCCCTTCTCTCCTGCTCTCTCACTCTCTCTTCCCCCTCTCCTTCTCTCTTCCCTCTCTCTCTGTCTCTCTCGTCTCAAGTGTCAGGACAAAAAGTATTGAAGAAGACACGGACACCAGTTTAGAAAGGTACTCAAACTCGAACCCTTTGACGCCGAGACACAGGTCAAGAACAAAAGCAGGCTGCGGCCGGACTAAAGAAGCCATTAGAACGATCATCTGCCTGTCTTTTGTCGGATCTGTGGCGGTCTCGCTGAGACAAACAACAGTGGGATGAATGAATGTGTGAATGTGTGGTTGGTCAGATTGTTCCTGATTTAGGATACAAAATGGTCGCTTTTAAGCACAAGGGGGCTATCCCGAAAATTGCTGTTTTGAGAAAATTGAAGGTAACTTTTTTGTCCCTTTTCAGTTTCTTTAAAAGACAAGGGGAGTTTTCTGCATAACCAAACAAATATACACACCAATGCAACCAAACTTCTCTTGTAGTCAAGGCAATGCCCACTTTTGGTGTAGGTCTAGATTTCTGGAAAACCCCAAAATCTGGGTTAGTCCGCTGGTCCTTAAAAACGACCAAATAGGGAGTGAGTTGGGGAGAAGGGGAGAGGCTGAAAGGGATGCAATGTCGATGTCCACACAAAATGAATCGAGAGACTCGATAAAAATTCCCCCTTCATAGGAATCGAACTTGGATCTTCTGCAAGTGACGCCAGGTGCCTAAATGCTACACCACATACGTCGGTATTGACTGATGACATATTTAAGACAATCTGGAATGGAACTATTGACAATAATGCGTTTGTTGCCATAGAAAAAAAAAATCCCGCAAGTCTCTGTTCTCTCTGTTATCATTACTTCCACCGCCGAAAAAAAAGAAAAGAAAAGAACATTTAAAAAAATATATTATTTAAAACAAAGGAATACAATGAAATCCCGTCTCCTCTAAATAAATCAAAATTTAAAAAAATAAATTGGAAAATAGTTGAATGAAATAAAATGTGCCTCCTCCCCCAACGGTCTTTAGTCTCAACCGCTGTTTAATTCCAGCGACTTGTGCTAACGACAGTTTCTGCTCACGGGACTTAATTGTGACGCGCACTATCACAAAACTTCTGCCTTCTTGGGAACTGAACTTAGGTCTCCTACGTGCGACAGTGAAGCGACTAACCACTCCACGACAGACACCGGTACACACACGCAGGAAGCACACAAAGGTGGTAAACGCGTAAGAACTACCAGTGGTTTCATCGAACCACCCTTCGTCCATCTTCTCCCGTACGTTCCACTCTCTATGTTTATTTAATATCACCATAACTTACTTTTTAAAAAAAACAACCAACAAAAAAAAACAACAACCTACAAAATATAAAAATACCCAATTCAACAAACATTTTAAAGTTTTTGAAACAAAAATATGCTTACGAAGAATTTTGTTAATAAAATGGAACGAATTTACTGGAAATAACGAAGTGTTTGAAAGAGCTTGAATTGAAGATACATGTATCAACACGACCATGAAAAGGAGAATGATCATGGAGATATTTAAGGCATGTTCTAAGCTATGGACAGACATGTGGATCGACTGATTTCCGCCTTATGTACCTTATGGTATAGGGAGAGAATAAGTTAGTAAGTACGTATAACTTGACACATATGATTAAGGCAAAGAAAAAGACGAGAGTGAGGAGAAATCATCGAAACACTTGTAAGTTTTAGTTTAGTAAGAGTATTGTCAGTATCTTAGTGTTCTATCGCTCATAAAAATGGCAGCTTGTACTGTACGCTTCGTAGTAAGTTGAGATTGTTTCAAAATGCTATCAGGTCTGTTGGGGTAATAATACGGATTGTAATGAGCATAGAGCTAGCTGTTGAGCGGGAATTTGCGCTTTACAAATGCTTTCTATCATTTATTATTATTGCTTGCAAGACAAAATACTTCATACAAGTGCTGAAGATTAAGGGCGTTACTGGACAGTTTTATACAAAGAAAAAAAAGGAGGAAATCATGATAGTGGACTATGTTTTGATAGGAAATGTGGAACAAACCACACCACAGCACCCGCCAACCACCCACGAAATCATCGAAAAGAAATAAAAAATAACCTGCAACAGCAATTCTACCACAAAAACACGACCATCACCATCGCTAAGACGACGACGACGACGACCACCACCACCACCATGACCACCACCATAATCAACAACAACAGCAACATCTTTAACCAGCAGCGAAAGGTTTATTTCAGCCTTCGCCACTAAAAACCCCACCAGGAGGCTGGGCCTGGTAGTAAAAGCAAGCCTTTTCAAGCCATCTGTTTCTTATACGTCAACTCGAGTTTTTCACGAGGTAAGTTAAGGCAAACCACAATATTGAAGTATTTTCCCGGCAGGCAGGGCCCGGTGTGTGATACCGGGACTCCAGAACAAAAAGGTCCTAACTCGGAAATTTAGTTTTTGGAGATAAAGTTTCTTGAATCTAGTTTTTTTTAGTTAGAGTATCTAGGACCTACCCCTGTACCCACTCTACATCCTTTTACGTAATAGGTAGAACTTTCCTTCCTTTTTTTCCAGAGATAAAACCATCGTAACTTTATTCTTCATGTAATTGCATCATAATACAACATTCGACGAAAACGTACAAACGTACAAAGTCATAATAAATGACATACTGCAGAAAGAATGACAAAAATATACGGTGCTCTAAATTAAATAAAGAAAATAAAAAACTGCATGCTGTGATATGTGGAACTGCAATAAGATGCTCAATACTGACGAAACCAGTCAGTGTTCAGGGAGGTACTAATAATATAGCGAGTGAAAAAGTTGCGCTCAAACATATTATTCATTTAAAAAATGAATGTGAGTGAGATAAGACCTTGTAATTCTGGAGGTCGCGATACACTTTCTTCTGTTGGGGGTCTTGTCTGGCTGATGGGGCGAGGGGGGAAAGCCATTTTGGGTGGGGTAGGAGAAAATGATTGCTTAATTTCTGAAAAAGTGAAACAAAAAGTGGGAGGGGGGTTCTTTCTCGGCATTTTGTCCTAACTGAAGCGAGAAGGCTTCAGGGTTTGAAGTGAAATTCCAATCCCATTAGGGGTAACTGGAAAAAAAAGTTTCTTTTTATTTCTTTCATTCCTTCTCTTTTCTCTCATATATTTTTCCCCTCTTGCTTTACTTATTTGTTTACCCTTTCTTTCCTTTTTGCTTTCTTTGCTTTTTCCGATTTGGGTACCTATCTATCTATCTATCTATCTATCTATCTATCTATCTATCTATCTATCTATCTATCTATCTATCTATCTATCTATCTATCTATCTATCTA